CCAGAACTCTAGCGCCGTCCATGGTGATGGTGTGGGACGGTTTAACAGCCGATGGCCGCTCTTCGTTTGTATTAATCGACCGTCCCGAATATCGTGGAAAATATTCTGGAGGGAGGGAGCCTGGGGCACGCAAACATTTTGGCCGCAGACCTTGGATATTCCAACAGGACTCAGCACCATCGCACTCAGCACGCGCCACCCAAGAATGGTTGCAAAATGAGGTTCCTCGCTTCATTTCCGGGCAGCGTGTGACGGTTTCATTGGCCGATTGAAGGCCATAATTCGTGCCAAAGGTGACCAATTCGCACAAATCTAAACTTATTCTAAAATTTGATGCTTTTTTCGACATTTTTCGCTTTAATTCAATAAAATTTTAAAAAAATATTTCAGTTTTTTATCTCACCCTGTATAGTAGCCATGACCTCACTTTATAAGCCTTGTGTTTCGGACCATTGTCTTGATAAAAATAATAATCTTTGCCAAGGTCGAGCTTTTTCTTACAGAGTTGCAAACTTTCTTTCAAAATGTTAAAGTAGATTGTCTGATCCATATTACATTAATATATTGCAATACACCAGGTCAGAGGCTGAAAATTAACCGTACTCCATTATTGCCCACCACCGTGCTTCACTGTAGGCTTCATATTTTTGGCAAGGAGCGCTTCATTTGCCTTTCTCTATACATAAGGTCTACCATCTGAACCAAAAAGGTTGAATTTGCTCTCGTCCGTGAACAGCACATTCATTAAAAAATGAAAAATCTTTTGATATGTGCTCCATGGCAAATCGCAACCTTATTTCTTGATTTCGCTTGCTGATAAGAGGTTTATGTCTACTCTTCCATTGTAATTTTCTCATCACTCAAGGTAAATCTTTTATTATTTGCCGCATTGGACTTATCCATCTGTTTTGAACCGTTTTATGATGTGCTGAACTGTAGATCGGCTTCCCTTATGGCTTTTGTAAGTAATATTTAATTACTAAATTTCTCACTTCAACAGTGGTTTGTCCTCGTTGTCATCCCATTTTTTTAATATTTATGTCAGTAAATGACACAACACGTGGAAATTTCTGATAGATTAGCATTTAGGGACTTCCCCAAACACATTTTTCAACAATAGCGTGAAGTTGGGCGAGCTTCGAGACAGGGTTGCCGTAAAAAATTAAGAGTGCAAGTACATAAGAAGCTTAAAGTCATGGCTAGGCATATTTTGTGACATTTCATAAAGGGATTATAGAGCCGCACTAAAATCCTGCCGTCTTTTTCCCTTTATAATTTGACACTAATATGCCTAGCCATGACTTCAAGCTTTCTATGTACCAAAGACATAGAAGAATAAAGATAGGACAAGACAGAGTAAAATATGGCAACCCTGTGAAAAATACCTCTGTTGTTATGATTTCGTAACAACATAGTTACCAATGTTAAGCAACTTGAACCGCTAAGGCCATATGCAATTATTTGGGAAGGTATATGGAATAGAATTTTGAAACTAATATTTTGGATTATCCAAACTTTTATTTGACATTCTTTCCTATAATTGTGTTTTTTTATGTTAACATGCCTCTGCCATGAGCTGTTATTCAAGGTAGTATAGCCACAAACCATTTGCTCAGAATGCATTTTGACTAGTCTTTACCATTTTAGGTATGTACTTGCACCTTGAGCTGTACGAGTTTAATTTTGCATAGAAATTTGGTGAGTTTTAGAATAAATGACATTATTTTGTTATATAAACAAGTAAAAAAGTTGTAAGTTTGGCCGGGCCGAGCTTTGAATACCCTACACCATTTCGAAAGAATTTGTCAATTTTCAAAAAAATTAAATCCGATAAAAATTCTGTTAAAATCTAAAAAATACCAAATGTAGCCGTCATATTAGAGTCTAAACGACGACGTGGACCTGCATAGGCAACTTTCGTCATAAGCCATTACAATATTCAAATGCGAAACTTGAAACAATCGGTGGATAATCTAGCTTCAGTATCCCTTACGAACTTCAAATATCAAATTTGAAACTATTCCGATGAATAATAGATATGGAGCCCGAACCAAAACGTGGACCTACATGGCATTTTCAATACCAAAAGTCCTGCGGGTATAATATACATTTGAGTAAATTTTTATCAATCTACTTCATTTCGTTCGAAAGGTAGAGTGATTTCCACAGACGGACGAACATCGCTAAATCGACATAGAATTTTATGCTGATCAAGAATATATATATATACTTTGTGGGGTCTAAAATGTATATTTCGAGGTGTTAAAAACGGAATGACAAACTTAATATACCTTCCATACTATGGTGGAGAGTATAAAAATATAGGTTTCTTCTGGTAGTGAATTTGATAACAATCGTATATTGCATGAAAGAAAATTGTTTGCTAAGTGGTCGACTTTCGCTTGGAGCTACTGTAGGTGCTCATTGAAACGCTAAATTATAGCCAGCCAATTCCACTTGAAAATATAGCGAAAACTTAAAAAACCCCTTAAATCGTGGGTACACCTGGAATCCCATTTGAAATTCCATGACTTGCATAATATACGTGATTATTGCATGACATTTCCAAATCGTATTAGAAATTCATACTGACCTCAAAGGATTATTTCGCATGGCGGAGAGCATAAAAATATCCCGGTGAAGAAGTAATTTAAATTTTTCTCTTGCTTGCATCATTTGTGTAGCTTTGAAGCGAGGCGTGTGTGTTCAATGTCGCCAATGTTATCCAAGTTCGAGGCGATAGTCGGGAATATGAATGCATTCAAGTGCCTTTCATGCCACGACTACGCGTTTCAAGTCACTGAACCGACAACCGAGTGTTGGAATTTGCACCAAACATTTAGCATGAAACCAACAAATGCATACACACATACGTGTGTGTAGATATTTTTACTTTGTTCTAAAAATTAATTGCCAGACAAATGAATGAAAAAGTATTCATTTGCAAAGCTTATCTCTCACTGAGAATGACTTCAGCTCCAATGGCAAAGTAATTCTTTCGATGCGATTGGGGGGGAAATATCTGCAACAACTTTATGGCATGTTTACATACACTCATTGTGTGTATGTAGTACATTTTGTGTAAGTAGACATCCACAGTGCGGCACAGACATGCACAGTGCAGTGAATATCTCGAATTTCATTTCTGGTCCATCCGGGTACCTGCATGTGACAGTGCGAATGAAATTCGATTCCCATATTTTGCCCACAGCGACTGAGTATTGCCAGTCCACACTATGCCTAAGAAGATATCGATACTTTTCTTCAGTCAACACTTTCGAATATCCAAAAACATATATTCGAATTATATTCTACACATACAGGGTGAGATGAAAAAACTGCAACCAACTTCAGACTGCTGTCATTTCCAAGCCATGCAACCGACAGATGTTAACTCCGACAGTCAGTGACAACTCATTATATTGTTTACAAGGGTACAAAAGCATTTTGGTGAGAATTTTCCAGAAAAAAAGGTATTCGTGATGAAATTCAAGCGTGATAGTGTGATTTCCTTACAATTGGCTGGAAAACCAGAAGTGGCTATCGTTAGAGCACTCCAGCATTTAAATGTGAATAAATCTTTTGTGTCTCGTATCATCGCTCGTTACCGTGATACTGGTAGCGTAGCCCGACGTCAAGGAAGTGGACGGAAGTAAAAAGTAACATCAGCAGAAATGGTTCGGAAAGTAATGAAGCGACTTGATCTAGACCCGCGTCGCATTGGTCGAAAAATGACTCGTGAACCGAACATATCGCAATATTCCATTCAGCAAATGTTGAAGAAAGAGCTCGAGATAAACCACAACAGATAGTAAATAGAAAAGAGCTAAAGAGTTGCTTCGCTTGGCCGAAAGGGGTGAACTACCTCATTTGGTTTTCTTCGATGAGAAAACATTTGTTGTTCAGCAGTTTGTAAACAAACAAAATGACCGTGTTTACTTGCCAAAAAGTTCGGATGAAAATGTGCACATTCGGTTGGCCACCAGAACTCAACCGCCGGCGTGTGACGGTTTCATTGGCCGTTTGAAGGCCAAAGATGACCAATTCGAAGAAATCTAAACTTATTCTATAATTTGATGCTATTTCCAATTCATTAATAATAAAATTAATAAATAAAATTAAAAACAAGTAAAAAGATGTAAGTTGAATACCCTCCACCATTTGGTACAAATTTAGAAATTTAAAAAAAAAAAAAAAATAAATAAAATCCGTTAAAAATTCTTTTAAAATCTTTAAAATATCGAATGTAGCCGTATATTAGGGTCTATACGACGACGTGGACCTGCATAGGCAACTTTTGTCATAAGCTATTACAATATTCAAAAAAAACTGTTTATAATGTAACAAAATTATCAAAATACCGAATATAGGGAGGTACCATGAGGTTTATAAACGTGGACATGCACAGACAATTTCTTGGCATAGGCGGTAGTATCCACTACGAACTTCAAATACAAAATTTGAAATAATTCCGGTAAATAATGTAGCAAAATACCGAATATCGGGGGTACCGTTATATGGGGGCTATACAAAGACGTGGACCTACATGGCCTATTTTCTGTCTGTAAATTTTTATCAGCTTACTTCATTTCGTTCGGAACCTAGAGTGATTTACACAGACGGACGGACATTGCCAAATTGACATAGAATTTTATGCTGATCAAGAATATATATATATATAATATATAAATATATATATATATATATATAAATATATATATATATATATATATATATATATATATATATATATATATATATATATATATATATATATATATATATATATATATATAAATATATATATATATATATATATATCTACTTTGTGGGGTCTAAAATGTATATTTCGGGGTGTTACAAACGGAATGACAAACTGGTTAATAAAAATTTAAAAATGATAACGTTTGACTTTGTTGCATTTTTTTATCACACCCTGTATTCCCAAGTATAACTCTGACATATGCATTACTTACAATAACAATTTTCTATGGAGTTGTATTAAAACTTTCAAAAAAGGGAATATCTATTTGCATTTAACTTTTTCACAGATCAAGCCGCAGGACAAATTGCTATCAAAACTATAGTGAGTCAGAGCTAAAAATCTTTTGGTTGAAACAAATTTACATAAATGTTTGACCAAAATCAGTTTCATCCAGAAAAATCCTGTTTTGACTTCGGTAAGTTGCCAATTTCATTTTTTCTTTCATTTGTTTGTCTGTTTTGCATCGCGGTAAGAATATTCCCGAAAGAATATTCTTGAAACGTTTATCATCATTGCATCCAGTAAATTTGTATTGGATTGTCATGTTTACATGGCCACGAACAGAAGAGAATATTCTTGATTTTGAATTGCGTTCGTCCCCTTTTCAGTGATTGTTGGTGTTTGTTAAGAGAGCATACGTATTTTGCTATTGTTGGCAGAGTCCGACATTTCTCTTTCGTTTCGTTTGCTTGCGTGCAAAAAAACAAGAGAATATCTTTGACATGATGGTGAGAGTCAAAGAACTCTCGCGCAATTGTATATCGCACAAGTTATCAAACAACTGAATGGAAACTCGCAAAATGCAAAAAATAAAGAAGAAACTTCAAGAAATCAGCCGGCAAGTATCGCGATGCGATGAGTAAAGTATTTGCAAACATACACACAAACGTTAACATACCGCATGCATACATATAAGTACATAAATACATTCACAGCCGTCTGGCATTTACTAGAATTGTCGAGCATAAACAAATCCGCTTCTGCTGCAAGTGTGAGACCATACCCCTTACCCCACCTACCGTAAGCGCGAAGCCATAGGCAACAGACAGACTCTTGTTGGTGGTATAAATACGGCAAGCTAGTCCACAGCTGACATCAGTTGTATACAAACAATACAAACCGTCAACTCGAAAGCGAACAAACAAAACACTTTGCTGCGATATTCTCCAAAGCGTACTTTTCCCAATTCGGTCGATATCAAAGACAGAAAGGAAGTAAATTGCAATTCAAAACAAAATGTCAAGCCTACCACTTTTGTTGAACTTGGCCAACGACCTGAACCGTCTCTCGCTGGCAGTTTCGCCATTCTATGACTTGCCAAGCACCCACAGACATCCTTATTATATGGCCTTGGTTGATGGTGACGCTCCACGACGACAGGAAAATGCTGGTGCGGTCTCGGCAATTGGCAAGGATGGTTTCCAGGTTTGTATGGACGTACAGCAGTTTAAACCGAGTGAACTGAATGTCAAAGTCACCGATAACTGTGTCATTGTCGAGGGCAAACATGAGGAACGCGAAGACGACCATGGCTACATTTCCCGTAGCTTTACACGACGCTATGTCTTACCCAAGGGCTATGATCCCAATAAAGTTGTATCGACTCTCTCATCAGATGGCGTTTTGACAGTCAGCGTTCCAAAGCCACAAATTGAGGAAAAGACCAATGAGCGCATTGTGCAAATTCAACAGGTTGGTCCAGCTCATCTTAATGTGAAACAAAATCCCAAGGAAGTTGAGGGTGACAAAAAGCAGGAAGAGGAGAAGAAAAACTAAAAATGTCCTGTTGGTTTCACTGTTTCAAGTCTAAATAAAAGCATTTCTGGTCATTCATTCATACATTTGTAAGTGGTACGTCCGTTTCCTCCCTACAGGGATGTACTGTTTCATTAGTCATTTTTCTAGAGATTAACGGTATTTTGTAAGAATTGTTATAATAGTTTTTAAAAAAAGTTCCATAAATACAAAATTGTTCAACGAATTGAAAATATAAATTAACTTGATTCTTTTCTTGAATGGGTGGGTTGGGTTTTTTTGAAAACTATATTGCCAGCATCTGAAAGGTTGTGTTTAATACGCACACGTTTGTATGTACATGTATTCTTCTTTATTAAAAAAAGTCGATAAATAAGCACTTACAAAACTTTTAGTGGTCAAAGTCAGTTTTAGTCAAAAATTGTTTGATATTTTTATTGCACGGAGGTTCGTAAGTCACAATGGCGAATTCCAATAAAATCAGTTGGTATATAGGCGCCCATTGTAGGAAAAAAATTAAATCGGTATTTGAAGTTCAGGTAGTCAACTTTGGAGCTGAAATATGAGATTAACTGAAAATTTTGAGATGTACTCACTTCAATAACCCTAATATAACCAATATGTGACTTATCGATATGTCTAGGATGGTTGGAATTGAAAATGAGATATATCGGTCTAGGTTTTGGTATAGTCCCCGTATAACGGTGCCAGATCATTAAATATTTAGTTCCACGTTTTCCAATAGCGCACATATAAAGATACCCACCGATATTCGGTATTTTGTTAATCCTAGTCAAATTTACAAACACAATTGTTTCAAATTTGATATTTTAGAAGATTTGATAGATTAAAATCCTTGAAGTATAAAATTGCCCATTTGTGTTCCCATTTTAGTGTGGCCCCCATATTACGGCCTAACCCACTTTATGGTTGTTTGTTTAACAGCAGTATCCAAACGGTCTTACTGGTATTTGTAGTTTAAAGTGGAACAGATTTGAATTTAGGTACTTTTATATAAAAATGTTTCCTTTACCCTAAGGTGGAGGGTATCAAAAGTTCGGTCCGGCCGAACTTAATGTTTTTTTTTACTTGTTTTTATACCTTCCACCATAGTATGGACGGTAAATTAAGTTTGACATTCCGTTTGTAACACCTCGAAATATACATTTTAGACCCCACATAGTACATATATTCTTGATCAGCATACAATTCTTTGTCGATTCAGCGATGTCCGTCCGACTGTGGAAATCACTGACGGTTTCGAACGAAATGAAGTTGATAAAATTTTACTCAAATGTATATTATGTCTGCAGGTATTGAAAATAAGCCACGTTTTGGTATAGTCCCCATATAATGGTACCTCCCTATTTTGGGTATTTTGGTGATTTAAGCGGCATTATTCACCGGAAATGTATCAAATTTGGTATTTGAAGTTCATAATGGATGCTACAGTCTATGGCAGAAAATTGTCCGTGCAGGTCCACGCCTTCGTATAGCCCCTCCTATTTTCGGTATTTTGGTGATTTAAGCGACATTATTCATCGGAATTGTTTTTAAGTTTCACATTTGAATATTGTAATGACAAAAGTTGCCTGTACAGGTCCATGTCGTAGAATAGACCCTAATATAACGGTAACATTCGGTATTTTTAAGATTTTAATAGAATTTTTAACGGATTTTATTTATTTATTATTATTTTTTTTTTTTTTTTGAAAATTGCCGGATTCGTTCCAAATGATGGGAGAGTATTCAAAGTTCGGCCCTGCAGAACTTATAGTTTTTTTACTTGTTTTTTATTACGAAACAATGTTTAAATGACAAATATCCTACAGTTTATGATATTTTTAATATTTTTGAAATGAGTGATTTCAATATTCTCACTCCTGAAACGAAGACGGTAAGAGCATTTCTTCGTCTATATTTTAATTAGTCTATGGTTCGTTTACTCAGTAAGAAGTTACTGTTTTCCTTTGACCGTTTTCATGCACAACGATACGGTCTGCAACAAATACCTATTATTCCCATCACGAAGTTATTCTACCTCCTTATTGTACCATGATTTGAATGAAATATGTTTTGTTTTTCCGAACTCTCGATTCGAGTAAATGACAGAAACCAACCAATTACAGAAATTCAAACTAGGCTTCTTTCTTCTTTTTATAGAGCTCTTTAAGTCAATGATCCAAATATAAAAATATGAAATCGTTATTTTCTCTTATTTTTTATTGATGATACTATTCAAACTATATTCTAATCAGACTAATGTTCTCCATGAATGAGCAAAAAAATACAAATGCCAAAGTTCAATTCGTAAAATGCCCCTAAATTCTGTCTTGAGTGCCTACAACTTTGATTGAGTTTCGGGTTTCTTTTCACACTCCGTTTCTTTGGGATTCAATTTTATATTCAAATGAGCTGGACCGACTTGTTGAATCTGTACAATTCGTTCATCTGACTTATTTTCAATTTGTGGCTTAGGAACACTGATCGTAAGAACGCCATCCGATGACAAAGTGGAGACAACTTGATTGGGATCGTATCCGTTGGGCAGGGCGTAACGGCGAATAAAACTCCGAGATATAAAGCCGCGATCGTCTTCACGCTCCTCGTGCTTACCCTCGATAATGACACAATTGTCCGAGACCTTTACGTTAAGTTCGTTTGGTTTGAATTGTTGCACATCCATGCAAACCTGGAAACCATCCTTGCCAATTGCTGAAACGGGAGCGGCTAGCTCGTTGCCCACTCGTGGTGGATCACCACCAACCAGACTAGGAGTATAGGCATGCCTGAGACGTGAAAATGGTGTTTCATAGAAGGAGAGGCGTTTAAGATCATCTGCCAAGCTGAAAAGGAGTGGTAGATTTGCCATTCTTCCTGTGAGATTGTCTTGTTTTTTCTTTAGTTAAAAAAGTGTTTTTTTTTCTTTTCTTTTGCTCTGTTAGTAGATGCTTATTTAAATTGTTGTATTCAACTGACGTATTCCGAGTAAATGCCAGGCATATTTATAATGGACGCACTCATTCTGTCGTATACTGCGATTAATGGTTGTTCGAAGTTCCTCGACGGTTCTAGAGTAGAGACCAAAGTCACGGACCAGCACTTGTCACTCGCAAACGCATGTTTGCCAATTATTGCACTTATCGGCTGGCTGGCTGCTGAGAGCGAAAAAAAAACATTTGATTTTTTGTTAAATGAATATGAGGGTGAATCGAAAAATGCGTTCTCTTTATCTGACATGATTAAAGACATGTTTGTATTGGTCATAAAGCCATGCAACAAAGAGAAGCAAATTGACCAAAAGCTAAAATTAATCCCTGTGCTCATCATTTGTTATTGAATCAACTACCAAAAGGTACATTTCTCACAACTCTCCTAATGTATATACATATATATTTGAAAAAAAATATAAAAACCATACCTCATATCCGTGGATAAGTCGAAAGTTCATTTACCTCAAATAAAGCAATTATCTTACAGACATATGCACAAATTCTAGAAGGAATCGCAGTTAAAGGAATTGATTTGCCCTTCATGTGAACAAATTGTAAAAATAACAGTGGCATTATCAAAATTAAAGGTGCCACCAGCACATCAGCGATGGGCTTCTTTGGTTTTGTTTACATTACAAACCATTGCCATGATGATTAGTCTGTCATTACAAAGTACATATATCCTGGATCAGCGTAAAATTCTATGACGATCTAGCGATGTCCGTCTGTTTGTCTGTCTGTCCGTCTGTTTTTTGTAATCACTCTATCTTTCGAACGAATTGAGATAGAAGGCTAAAATAAATTCATAGTTTACCAGTAGGCAGGTTAAGTTCGTAAATGGGCCATGTCGGTCCACGACATGTATAACGATACCTCCCGATATTCGGTATTTTGATGATTTAAGCAGCAATTTTTCAAATTTTCTACTGGAAGATTCTAATGGGTACTACAACCTATGGAAAAAAAAATTCGTATGCAGGTCCACGTCTTCGTATAGCCACCACATAACGGTGCCTGGCGATATTCGGTATTTTTTTTTTATTTACCGGAATTTTTTCAAATTACGTACTTAAAGTTCGTAATGGATACTACAGGCTATGACAAAAAATGTCGTAAGCATGTCCACGTCTTCGTATAGTTCCCATATAACGGCTTTCATTTAAATGGTAGTTATCGGATTTTTTTAAATATAACCCCAATATATTCATATTTTTCCTACAAAAGCTATCTTTAACTTGTTTTTTTTTTTACCAAATGGCAAAATTCTATTGAATATGAAAAAATCTTCAATTGGGGCTGATATATATATATATATATATATATATGGTGAGCAGTAACCGTAAAATCGGATGTATCAGATGTATATCGATGCTATATAAAAATCTGAACCGATCTCGATAAAATTTGGCAGAGGTATTTTCGAACAGTATCTAATGCCCGCTATCAAATATCAATATTGAGGGACTTTAACACCAAATTCGATTAAGCATATATATGAGAGTCATACCTATATCTGAACCGATTTCCACCAAAATTTGAAGCACTTGCTTTTAGGCTGAAAAACCTGAAATCGGAAAAAGATATATATGGGAGCTATATCCAAATCAAAACCGATGTTGCCAAAATTTTAAACACTTATTTCTGAGCTGTATCTGATATCTGGTACCAAAGAATAGTGTGTGGAATGCATAATGGATTTAAAACCCCAAATCGGATGAAACATATATATAGGAGCTATATATAAATTTGAACCGATTCTCACCAAATTCAATAGGGTTCGTCCTTGGGCCAATTTCTAGGAACTAAAAAATTAACAAGATTTAAAACTAGATGAATGAAGGTCCACATTTTAATATGGACCATCTTATACAGGCTGAGATAAAAAACTGCAACAAAGTCAAACGCCACACTTTTTATATATATATTTTTTTAATTTTATTGAATGAAAGCAATGTCGGAAATGTCGGAAAATGGCATCAAATTTTAGAATAAGTTTAGATTTGTTTGAATAGGTCAACTTTGGCACGATGTATGGCCTTCAAACGGCCAATGAAGCCCTCACACGCTGCCCGAATGTTGCTCTGCGGTTTTTTGGCCCATTCCCGGCGAAGCGCTTGTTTGAGGTGATCGACACTTTGGTATTTTTTTGTGCCAACCTTGCTTTCCAAAATACTCCAGACACAATAGTCCAACGGATTGATATCCGGAGATTTTGGTGGCCATTGTGCGCTGGAAATGAAGCAAGGAACCTCATTTGGTAACCATTCTCGTGCTGAGTGCGATGATGCTGAATCCTGTTGGAATGTCCAAGGTCTGCGGCCAAAATGTTTGCGTGCCCAAGGCTTTAATACACCCTCCAGAATATTTTCGCGATAATATTCGGCATTTATTCTGATGCCTGAGGAGAGGGGGAGGGGGATACGAGGGGAGAGCGACCATCGGTTGTTATGGTTCTGGTGGCCAACCGAAGGTGCACATTTTCAGCTGACCTCTTTGACAAGTTAACACCATAATTTTGTTTGTTTACAAACTGCTGGACAACGAATGTTTTCTCATCGGAGAAAATCAAATTCGGCAGTTCACCACTTTCGGCCAAGCGAGTCTATTTTCTTTCTGTTGCGGTGTAAGTTCTTGCACTTTTTGGAATTTCAATGGTTTAACCCAGAGCTTATTTATCAATATTTGCTGAATGGAATATTTCCACTGCGACACCGGTTTCGATCAAGTCGCTTCTTTACTTTTCGAACCATTTCCTTGACGTCGGGCTACGCTACCAGTACGAGACACAAAAGATTTATTCACATCAAAATGCTGGAGTGCTCTAACCACTCTAACATATATTATGCCGAATTTCAGTGCTTTCAGAATATGATTATAACAACTTTATTCGATAGCTGGAAAATGTCTATATTGAAGTGTTACAAACAGAATGACAAATTTAATACATCCCCAGATGGAATAAAAATTGGATTTGAAAAAGAGCGACCCAAATTCGAGATTATCGGGAGGTACCGTTATATGGGGGCATACATGCAATGTTTCTCCACCGGAGCTGGACCCCATTATGACCAACAAATACCAATTTTCAGACAAATCCGTGAAAAATGTGGCAAAAATCATCAAATTACCGAATATCGGGAGGTACCGATATATGGGGGCTATACCAAAACGAGGACCCATACATGCAATGTTTCGCCACCGGAGCTGGAACCCATTATGACGAACAAAGACCAATTTTTAGACAAATCCGTGAAAAAATGTGGCAAAAAAATTAAAATACCGAATAACGGGAGGTACCTTTATATGGGGGCTATACCAAAACGTGGACCTATACATGCAATGTTTTGCCACACGCACAGGGACCCGTTATGACCTACAAATACCAATTTTCAGACAAATCCGTGAAAAAATGTGGCATAAATCATCAAAATACCGAATTTTGGGAAGTACCGTTATATGGGGACTATACCAGAACGTGGACCGATATATCTCATTTTCAATACCAACCATCCTAAACACAATACAAATTGCTCTGCTGAATTTTCGCTCTACGTCAAATAATGTGGGCTGTATCGTGATTTCAACAGACAGACAGACTGTCAGACAAACGGATAGACAGACAGACGGTCATCGTTAAATCGACTTAGAATTTTATGCTGATTATGAATATATATACTTTGTGGGGTCTACGACGAATATTTAAAGTTGTTAAAAACGGCATGACAAAGTAATATACCCTCCTTTCCAAGGTGGAGGGTATAAACAGAAGTATTCTGCAGAGCATATTCTAGAAATCAGAAACAACTTTCATGTAGGTAACTTATAAATACGTACATACCTACATACATATGTATGTACATAATACAATATTGACCCTTATTTGAAACAAACAATAACATTCTACGTTTTTCAAGGGGGTTTTAAGAACAGAGCATACAAACGTATGTATGTGTGTTTCTGGAAAATTTGCAACCGGCAGGCATTCACTGAATGATTCAGTTGCGCTAACAAAACAAAAACAAATGAAATTGTTCTCTTAAAATTATAAATGTAAACAAAAACTGAGCTCTCTCTCACTCTTTCACTCAATTCTCATACTCTTTTGAAATAACAGCTGCCAGTTCTCTAGAAATTTCAAGAGAAAAATATCTAGAAATTTCCCTTTGTTAATTGAAGAGTATATAAACCGCGGGCTACTGTGACAGCATCAGTTTGAAAAATAAATTCAAATAAAGCACACAAATCGAAAAGCGCAAAACGTTAACAAATCGTTGGAAAACTCGTGTAAAATAATTGTTTGGTAAAAAAGTGAATTGTTTCGATTATTTAAAAACCAACACAAGCCAATTAAGAAGAAGCAACATGTCTCTCATACCTTTGATTCGTGAGCTCGACGATACGTTCAGTGACGTTGAGGATTTCTTCGAAGGACCATTTGGATTGGGCATACATCCAGTGGACATATTTAGACCTCGTCATCGCTCCTTGATGTTACATCCACGCAACCGTTATTGCCCGTACATAGCAAGATATAACCGACCTCGCAAGGAATCATCTATGGAAAAGTCTGATATAATTCCAACTGTGGGCAAGGATGGTTTCCAAGTGTGCATGGACGTTTCACAGTTTACACCAAATGAGCTGACCGTCAAGACAGTAGACAAAATGGTGGTAGTTGAAGGAAAACACGAGGAGCGTGAAGATGAGCATGGTTTTATTCAGCGCCATTTCGTACGCAAATATGCACTGCCCAAAGGATACGATCCCAAAGATGTGGTCTCCACAATATCTTCTGATGGCGTTTTGACCGTCAAAGCACCACCGCCAGCAATTAAGGGAAAGAGCAACAACGAACGTATTGTTCAAATCCAACAGACCGGCCCGGCACATTTAAATGTCAAGCAACCGGAACAACTCAAAAAAGCCGATGACTCTACCGAGAAAATGGAGACTAAATAATTGCCGATGTTTTGTTTTTAACCATTCCCATTAAATCTGCGACTGATTAGATTTTATTTCATCATCGAACATTGGTTTATTGCATTTCCTCATATTCTTAGAATTAGAATTGCCTACCTGTTAAGTTTTTTTAATACCAAACAAAAATATAAATAAAACCTCTAAAAATGATAAACATTTGCGTTTTTATTGGGAGCTGCGTTTTTGCAATGGTATAGAATTCGAATGCGAGGTTCCCAAACTTTCTTTGTTATCATAATCTTGATACCAATCAGAGCAAATACGTGTGAATAAAGTAAAGTATAACATGTGCCGAAATTGTAATAATCTCTAGCATGAGGTAGACAGCATTTACAAATAAATGTATCTGGATAAAATTTTCGAACGAGTTCCATTTTAACTTTAAAAATCCAGAGAAATCGATTGAAGAAGGCAGTTAAAGTCTTCAAAATTTCATCAAGTGGTTGATTACGGTAATATGGGCGCTACACCAAAACGCTACCTTTGTCGGTAAATATTTGACACAGGGGTTAATATCTATAAAGAATTTTATATACCAGAATTTAAAACAATTCATTGAAAAAATCTGGCCAAACCACCAAAACAGCAAATATCGGATGACACCGTTATATAGGTATATACACAGTGTAATGAAAGTAGGAACCCATTGCAAACTCTAAGCAGTAAATTTGAAACATACAGGGTGAGATGAAGAAACTGCAACCAACTTCAGACAGCTGTCATTTATAAGCCACTTCGACAGCTGTTAAAATTATTCCAGCTGTTATTAGGTGTGTCTGGTTACCCTAAAATTTGTAACAATTGTTACAAATTGTTACTGGAAGTCGTCTGTTAACCCGAAAGTTCTGCAAAAGAGAGCGGTTGGAGAGAGACATTTTGACAGTTCTTTCAGTGAGAGTTTGCACATCAAATCTACTTTCCTTTTATTGCTCATATTTTTATTTTATTGTCAATTTTCTTTGTATGTATAAAACTTGTGAAATTGGTGGTGGTTCCTTTCGTTTAATCCTTTTAATGGGGGACAAATTGGTTTGTTTTGACAAATCAGCTGATTAGTTGCAAGCTTCTGCAGGAATATCGTCTGTTTACTTTTCGCAATTTCCTTGCAAAAGAAAATAAAACTACCTTATTCTCTCAGAAAGATGTTGCTGGACAATTCCTGCAGGAAAAGTAACCAGACACACCTATTATTCTAAACATTATAGGTGTGTCTGATTACCCTAAAATTTGTAACAATTGTTGCAACATCAGCAGAAATGCGTCGAAACCCGCGTCGCAGTAGCCGATAAATGGCTCGTGAGCTGAACGTATCGAAATATTCCATTCGGCAAATTAACTCGGGGTAAAGCCATTGAAATTCCAAAAAGTATAAGAACTTACACCGCAATAGAACGAAAATAGACTCAAATGAGTTAAAGAGTTGCTTCGCTTGGCCGAAAGTGGTGAACTGCCGAATTTGGTTTTCTCCGATGAGAAAACATTCGTTGTCCAGCAGTTTGTAAACAAACAAAATGATGGTGTTTACTTGCCAAAGAGGTCAGCTGAATATGTGCACCTTTTGTTGTCCACCAGAACTCAAGCGCCAGCCATGGTGATAGTGTGGGCCGCCATAACACCGATGGACGCTCTACGCTCCTATTTATCGAACGTGGCATCAGAATAATGCCGAATAATATAGCGAAAATATTCTGAAGGGTGTATTAAAGCCTTGGGGACGCGATCATTTTTGCCGCAGACCTTGGACATTCTAACAGGGCTCGGTACCATCGCACTCAGCACGCGCCACCCAAGAATGTTACAACATGAGGTTCCTCGCTTCATTTCCAGCGCACAATGGCCACTAAAATTTCCGGATACCAATCCGTTGGACTATTGTGTCTGGAGTATTTTGGAAAGCAAAGTTGGCACTAAAAATACCAAAGTGTCGATCACCTCAAGTAAGCGCTTCGCCGGGAATGGGCCAAAATACCGCAGAGCAACATTCGGGCAGCGTGTAACGGTTTCATTGGCCAATTGAAGGCCATACATCGTGCCAAAGGTGACCAATTCGAACAAATCTAAACTTATTCTAAAATTTGATGCTATTTCCGACATTTTTTGCCTCCTTTCAATATATTGTAAAAATATGTAAAAATTATGGCGTTTGACTTTGTTGCATTTTTTTTTATCCCACCCTGTATAGCGGTGCTAGAAGATCGCATACGCTTTATGTGTTTTCACGAATACGCGTGTAATTGTTTCGTATTGAAAGTAATTCCCATACTAATCACTATTTTTACCCTACACCACATAGTGCCAGTCCGTCTGTCCTTCCGTCCGTCCGCCCGTCTGTTTTAATATAATCCTTCGATATCATGCACTATAGCAATTTTATTTGATATGGATCTATTTCACATAAATTCTCAATATAAACCTTTTTGTTACGGGAGCTCTACTAAGTACGCATAGTGGTGTAGTGTATCATATAGTAGGCCCAGCCCGACTTTTGATCTTTCCTTACTGGTTTTACACTCTTGCACCACTGCTACTGCTGCCTTCTTTGGCTTGAAAATTAAATAATTGTAAAAGTAAAATTAGTAAGTGTTGAACATTTTTTTTTAATCGGAACTGCTCGATATTTTCATTCGACGTTTGAGCAAAGAACACATCGTCAAACTTATTCCGACCTCTGGTGTAAATTTATCTAGTACGTAGCGTTAGTCTCAACTCTACTACAATTGATCTAACTATACCAAAACGACCCATGCATTTTAAGATATATTTTCGGATTTTATTTAACTGAATAAATCATAAATAATGCATATATAAATTTGTTAAATCTAGAATACAATAATAATCAATAATCAAATACTATAGCGAATGTTTAATAAATTTAAATCTAATCAGTCGAAGAACACATATAATATAGGAGTAAGGTCGTTATTTTGATTCTGCTTTCTCTTTCGAGCCATTACTTTCATCTTTGTTGTCATTGTCCGGCTTTTTAACATTGAGATGAGCTGGACCGGTCTGTTGGATTTGAATAATGCGTTCATTGCATTCCTTGTCCTTGATTGGTGGTGGTGCTTTAACGGTCAACACTCCATCTGAGGATATTGTGGACACTACATCTTTGGGTTCGTAGCCTCTGGGTAAAGAATATTTTCGTATGAAGTGTCGCTGAATAAATCCGTGTTCATCTTCACGTTCCTCGTGTTTTCCCTCGACGACCACCATTCTGTCGACTGTCCTAACCGTTAACTCGCTTGGTTTAAATTGTGAAACATCCATACACACTTGGAAACCATCTTTGCCAACCGTGGGTAGTAATTCCGATTTTTTGGTTGAAGCTTCCTTACGTGGACGACCGCATCTAGCTAAATATGGGCAATAGCTATTACGAGGATACAGTATTAAGGAATTATGACGAGGTCGGAATATGTCCACCGGATATATTCCAAGTCCAAAGGGCTCTTCCAAAAAATCCTCCACTCCACCAAATGTGTTATCAATTTCACGCAGCAATGGAATAAGCGACATTCCGTTGTAATTTTTATTTACTTTTTCAAAAAGTTGTAACGTTCTTTTGAATAAACAGCCAGTCAGATTTAATTTATTTTTGTCAACGGTTTGTTGTGTCTATTTATAGATGTGCGTTCTTTGAACTTTTGTTTCGAACTGAACATACCCTCTGTGTTTCATCCTCCCATTTATATGCTCTTCATTAATTGGCTTCACACAAAGAGAAATTTCTAGATGTCTCTTTTGCTCGATTTCTAGAAAATGTCAATATGAGAGAGAGAGAAACAAAATTATGAGTAATTCGAATTTTTGGGAGACCGGCATTTCTTTGTAAACAACTCAGACATTTGTGTGAATGTGTTGTACGTGCAGTTTGTTTTGATTGAGCTTGCAATCGACTGTCTGGATTCCAGACTCTGGAAGCCACAAAATGGAATTGCAAATATGTATGTAGGTATGCACATCACGTTATTATTAAATTCTTTTGACTTTCCACATTGAATTGTTTTGATAACAATTAAAAGTTATGGAAATATTTAGTGATTAAAGTTTTTAGTGTCCACGACTTCTAGTATATATTTAGAATAATATATCTAAATATTGTTTGAAATGGCAGTCGCAAGTTTTCAGAAGAAGGGGAAACAAAATATATGTATTTCATTTACATAAATATATAGTAAATATATATATATATATACGTATGCCCACTATATTGAAAAACGCCGGTCCCTCTCCAAAGAGGTAGCGGTTTTTGTGTTATTTCTCTTTGTAGGTTTCTAGAAAAATTAAAGAGAACTCGAGAAAAATCTCTTTTGCCGTTAAAGAGTATATAAGTTGTAGTTGCTTCACATGCGTACGTTCAGTTTGAATTGAAACTTGACACAAACATATAGCGAATATAAGAAACAAAACAAACAATATTTTTGTCAACAGACAATTGAACAGTTGAAGACAACACAAGAAGAAAGCAAACAATAATAAAGATGTCGATAATTCCTCTGCTTCGGGAACTCGAGGACTCCTTCAGCGGAGTTGAAGACATTTTAGAGGCCCCATTTGGACTTGGAATACATCCAGTGGACATATTTCGACCTCGTCATCGCTCCATTGTTTTGCGTCCTCGCAATCGTTACTATCCTTACGTAATAAAATACCAGCATCCAATTAAAAAATCCCCTGCCGAAAAGTCGGATTCAATCGTTCCCACTGTTGGCAAAGATGGTTTCCAGGTGTGCATGGACGTTTCGCAATTTAAACCAAATGAACTAACTGTAAAGACGGTCGATCGGATGGTAATAGTTGAGGGAAAACACGAAGAACGTGAGGACGAGCACGGGCTAATCCAAAGACAATTTGTACGCAAATACACGCTTCCTAAGGGTTATGATCCCAAAGATGTCGTTTCTACGATATCTTCGGATGGCGTGTTAACCGTGAAAGCACCTCCACCAGCCTTAGAAGATAAAACCAACAATGAACGGATAATTCAAATTCAGCAGACCGGTCCTGCTCATCAGAATGTAAAACAACCCGAAAAACTGAAAAACACCCCAGACGTTTGCAATGGATCTGCGGAAAAAATGGACACAAAATAATGCAGAGACTCTGGTTGGCATTAGTTTATAATTTCTGACTGATTAGTAGTTTTAAATTCATTTTCATGTTATTATTGTATTCGTTTTTTCCGATTTGTTTCTTCAGCTCATTTAATCCTAATATAGCCTTACGCCATTCCGTACGTTTTGTTTTAAATAAAAATAAAAATACATATATGTATATATGAGTGTGTTTAGAATCTTTTATGGCTGGCTTAAGAAGGACCCTCTCAAATTATTTAAAAATGTTATCATTTCCCAAAGGAAAGAAATGCTTTCTCCATAAATTGAGTTATCATCATAGATTAGCAGATGTCCCATGACGACTGCTTCACTCGGAGACCTGTTGGTCCATTATGTTCAATCTGAGAAAAGATAATATGGAAAAGTAAGACACAGATTGTAAACAAAATAATGACTAATTGTAATCGACAAATAAGAATTTATCGTGTCGTCTTTAGCCACTCTAATCTTCTGGCTTACTGAAGAATTTTACTGGTGGTTCTGTGTTGGATAATGAAACAGATCGTGAAATTTAAATCCATATTACAGCTTTTAGGAAGAAAAAAATGTTTCCTTTTTGGGATGTATTAGGTACTCGATGTTCTGACAATCCAGGGCATTCCATTTGTCTTTCGCGTTTCTATTTTATATAAAAAGAGGAAGAAAAGTGTCAAATCAAAAATCAAATAGCTCGGTTTACCAACGCGTGAACATGCCAGGAACAGCCCATGAAAAAAAAAAAAAAAACAGGAACATGCCAAATTTAGTCCTCATACACAAAGGCTTTTTCCTTCAGATTTATTAATTTGATAGCAAATGCCAAGCAAGCAGGAAACTGCAATCTTTTGAATTAGTGAATTTGAGGTAGCAACATACTTCGTATCCTTAATTAAATTGTTGTGTAGTTTTTTTACTGTTAGCATAATACCATTGCAAAGGCGTTGTGGGTCAATTCTAAATTCTAGATTTTTTTGGAATCTGACATATATATCGTTTTTATATATATATATATATATATATATATATATATATATATATATATATATATATATATATATATATATATATATATATATATATATATATATATATATATATATATATATATATATATATATATATATATATATATATATATGGGAGATATACCCAAACCTCAATCGATTTCAATATAACTTGGCAAATTTATTTCCAGATCAAATCCCGTTACACATTTCAAATTTCATTGGAATCGGACATACATATCGTTTTTGTGCATCAAGTAAACGAAATCGGGAGCTACATGCAAATCTGAACCGATTTCAATATAATTAGACAAAATTAATTTTTGTATCAAATTTGGTCGCTCATGCCGAATTTCATTGGAATCGGACATACGTATCGTGTTTGGTGCATCAAATATGTGAAAACGGTCGAAAATATGTATGGAGGCTATATCCAAATCCAAACCGATTTCAATATAATTTGACTAATTTCTTTTCTAATCAAATGCCGTCACACATTTCAAATTTAATTGGAATCGAACATAAATATCATGTTTGGGGTATCAAATAAGCGAAATCGGTCGAAAATATATATGGGAGTTATATCCAAATCTGAACCGATTTCAATATAATTCTGATCAAATCCCGTCACTCTTTCTAAATATGGAGACTGAATCTGCAATCGATACGATTCTGATGCTATATCTCCAGTTCCAAGTGAAATTTCAAAAATTTAAATAGCCTATTTTATTTTGAGGCGATGTTGTTGTATACTTTGAAATTTTCAGGGAAATCTGTGCAGCGGTTTTCAAGTCCATAAATTAGAAAGAAAAATACAAACATTTTCTGTAGATATAGATGTATTGCGTTCTTGAGCTGAACTTATTTGTAATCCATAAATAAGCATCAAGTCCATCTAATCTAGATGTAAATAGTACAATTTGTACCATTCATTTGAAATGTAACCTGCGGTTTTTTATACATACTTATTGTCAAATTTCTAGTTACTTCCTATGCACTACCTACCTAACTCTATTGTTCCCAAAAATGATAAATAGTTATCATTTTGCCAATCAAAAATATACCCATGCATATGCTAAATAGCACATTGCTAAAATAGACCCAACCAACATTTTTAATAAAAAAACAACAACAAAATATTTATAAATCTATAAAATAGTAGTTTTAATTCACATTTATTTATTTTTTTTTTTTTTCTTTCAATCTAATACAAAAGGTGAGTCTTTGTTCTCGTTCAAAGAATAAGTAAATGGAGTATTGGTATTATTATGAAAAAGAAACACAAATGAAAAAAATCCAATTCGATTTCAAATTATATGGATTAATTCGACCGAATAAATTTTAAGGAATGTTAATAAAATGATAGATATATAGATTTTATTTGGCAGTATTTTCTTCGCCCGATTTCTCTCCAGCAGCAGCTCCATTTTGGGCCTGTTTAATAGCCTGGGCAGTTTCCGGCTGTTTGACATTTAAATGTGCTGGACCAGTTTGTTGAATCGGAACCACACGTTCATTTTTGATAGCCTTATTTGGCGGCGGTGGAGCCTTGACGGTGAGTACACCATCCGAGGAAATGGTCGACTGGACGTCTTTGGGATCATAGTCTTTGGGCAGAGTATATTTACGTATGAAATGGCGCTGAATCATACCATGGTCGTCTTCACGCTCCTCATGCTTGCCCTCTACAATGACGACGTTATCCACTGTCTTTACGGTCAATTCACTGGGCTTGAATTGAGACACATCCATACACACCTGGAAGCCGCCATCATTGCCCACCATTGGCATGACGCTCAACTCGTTTCTATCACGGTGTTGACGATGGTGGTGACGTCGACCCCCTAGCATGTAAGGCGAGTAAAAAGGGCGTCTGCCATGTAGCTGGGCCAAGCGCGGACGAAAGATATCAACCGGATTGATGCCAAATCCAAAATCGTCATCCAGCAATCGATCCCATTCGTCCAAACCACGATGCTCAGCATCCAAGTCACGAGCCAAATGCATCAAAATTGGTACCAGAGACATCTTCTTGCGATTCTTTGTATACACACCAATTTGTCTGTACTTGGAGAGGTTAATTTTTTTTTCTTTTTGAACAGCAAAAAACAAGTTGTAATATTAGCAATGAAGCGCACAGCACTCGCGTCAAACGACCCTGACTTGTCGGTTTGCAAGACTAAAATAAAGAGTAGGATGAAGCTTTTGCAAGTTTATATGGCAAATTGTTGGATGGCGAATGCGAGAGAACAAATGTTTGAAAGAGAAATTCTTAACGAAAGAACATTCCTATTGTCCTGCTCTTTAAAAAAATGCCAATTTTTTCAAGAATCTATATTCTAGAAACACCACTCCACAGAAATTATATGCATTACATGTTTACATGGATATTTTTAAATGGTAAATATCTTAATAGGTATTATTTACATTTTAACCAAACTTTTATTAATTAAAAAAATTAAAAGCAACAATCTACACGGATGTGTGTGTGTATATATGTATACAGTTGGGAAGAAATATTTATTACCACGGTGTTGTGCTGTTGCTTTTGCTTAAAATGTTGAGTTTTAATGGGTGCAGATTGTGTGTAACCCTTTTAGGGAAGTATATTACATACAAGAAAACACTAAATTTTATACACCGTAGGCATTATTTAAGTATTTATTTTAAGATAGGCTAGAAAAGCAATAGAAACAGACATTTCATGATCTTTCCACAGAAAGAATTTGCTCTCTCTATATTGAAAAATTTCAGTATGTCGTCATGGAAATTAAATTAATTCTTATAACAAACAAGAAAAACTTGAGCAAGGAACTAGATGAACTATAATTCATAAAATTATCACCCACGGGAAATATACAGGGTGAGATGAAAAAACTGCAACCAACTTCAGACTGCTGTCATTTCTAAGCCACTCGTCCGACAGCTGTTAAAATTATTCCAGTGACAGCTCATTATAATGTTTACAAGCGTACAAAAGCATTTTGGTGAGAATTTTCCAGAAAAAAAGTCAGTTGAAAATGTGCACCTTCGGTTGGCCACCAGAACTCAAGCGCCGACCATGGTGATGGTGTGGGCCGCCATAACAGCCGATGGTCGCTCTCCGCTCGTATTAATCGACCGTGGCTTCAGAATAAACGCCGAATATTATCGCAAAAATATTCTGGAGGGTGTATTAAAGCCTTGGGCACGCAAACATTCTGACCGTAGACCTTGGACATTCCAACAGAACTCAGCAGGCGCCACGCATGAATGGTTACAAAATGAGGTTCCTCGCTTCATTTCCAGCGCACAATGGCCACCAAAATCTCCGGATACCAATCCGTTGAACTATTGTGTCTGGATTAATTTGAAAAGCAAGGTTGGCACAAAAAAATACCAAAGTGTCGATCACCTCAAGCAAGCGCTTCGCCGTGAATGGGCCAAAATACCGCAGAGCAAACTTCGAGCAGCGTGTGACGGTTTCACTGGCCATTTAAGCCATAATTTGTGCCAAAGGTGAACAATTCGAACAAATCTAAAGTTATTCTAAAATTTTAAGATATATGGACCTGACGTATCTAGGTAATACGGGCGCACAAAAAATTTTACTATGGTGGAGAAGTTAAATAGTTGTGTACGCTACGACGAATTTTAGGCAACGCTGTCATAGATTGCAGTTAAGGGTATCAATATTTTAATACTTCTATGAAGACATTTATAAAGGAAAGAAATGTTAAATGAACAATTTTATGAAGAACATAAATTTTCATTGAACATGACTCCATGGTCCAGATTTTCAATGTTGGATTTCGTGAAGTGATTGTTGTCATAAAAACACATTTTTGTAGCCAAAATAACGACTATTAATTCATGTGTTTAAAAAATAACCTTACAATTTGGAAAATTTTCAGATGATAGGACCAGAAAAGGGATTTTTAGAAGCAGTTGATTCAACGTAGTAACGCTCTTATAAATACAGAGGGTAAGGGTTATGAAAATGGATATTTCACACAAAAGGTATGGGCCATACCTCATTCTAACACCATGCAAAATAAAATGCCAATTGGTATAAAATTATAACCTGAGAGACTACAAAATCAGAAAAATCTCTTTTGATCCATTTCAACCGCTAAAGATTTTTATTCTGACCCTAATCCTGACTCTACGCAAAATTTCGTGAGGTTTGCGTTATAAATGTGACCTGCAGCGTGATTATAAATAAAAATGGTCAGACGGACACGCATAGCCAAATTCCCATTTACACTTTTATTTATAATGGAAAACCCAAAACCAGCGCCCGGACATAATCCCCAGAGATTAAAATTGAGATTTTATCTTCTGGGTATGTCCTGCACCTAAATTTCATAATTCTTGTAAGTAGCCTTTGCCGGGGCTTGATCGCCTGGGTAGCAATTGCTTGTCTGCCTTAAACAAAAGTTCTATGAGTAAGAAAATTACTATTTTATTAAATATACTACTTTTTCCCACAAAAAATCAGTATGAGGACCATAGGACATTTCATGCCGACAATTGGAAAGTAGGGCCGGCTACTGGCACAAAAGTAATATTTTAATTTGAAAATTGAACCAATTTTATAAAAAGTTTGTATCCATTATTAAAAAATATATAGAATTTGTTGAGTACCCTGAATTTACTGTAAAAGTAAATTTGCGTGAAAAACAGTGTAATTTTTATGATAAAAAACCTTAATGTCCCTTCTACTGGAACCCTTACCCTGCATTTTGGCAAATAATTACAATTTTATCCAATGTTAGCTTTGCCTAAGGCAGTAGGAAGTTATGTAGATACTCACATTACTCATTAAAAAATATAACTCACCCATTAAGTTGATAAATTACATATCTGTTGTATGTAGTACATATTTATATATGTTTGAAGCTGATGCACTCAAAAAAGTCATTCAAAGCTATGTACTAGAATGTTCTAAAAGCGCAAAAACCTTATTTTTTTAATAAGTGCAATCATACATAACATACGTACATTTGTTTGTGTGTATGTTTTTCTCCTTTTTATATGTATGGATCAGGGGTGCTCAAAACCGTGTTCTAGAACATGAAGAGAAAAAAGAGATAATTTAAGAGAAAATTAAAATTCTGTTTTTCTTTATATTTTACTGTTCTATTTAATTGTTTTTAAACACGAATGTTTGCCAAAATAGTTTATAAAGCAAATAGATAAAAAATATTTGTATAAATAATGACTTAACACTGTTTTGTTCTTGATTTAAATAAGCAAAGAGAAATTTGACTGAAAACAGATATTTCTTCTTGAGCACCCCTGGTATGGATGGATGTGTGAATGTGTAGAAAACGTAGAGATAACCCAGAGCAAAGTAGTTTTGGACCGTTCTCTTCTCTTTGTAAAACGAATTTCTTCTCTTGGTAAGAGAATTTTATAAATATCTTTCACTCTTTTCAAGTAGAGAACGAGAAAGAGAGAAATGCCAATTGTTTGGCATTTGCTGTGAGCGATTGACTCATCTCGACTGCAATTATCTTTCTAGAATTCACTCAATTCTTCACGAAGGGTGCGAAATAAATATAAAAAGCGGATACAGACCGGCAGAGTTCAATCAATTCTGAACATTCAAGCAGAAAACAACGCGTGTAAGCAAAGCAGTACGAAAAGTATAGCTGACAAAGTTCTTAAGAATCAAAAAAAGGAGAAATATCTACTAAATTAATATACAACCGGCATACAAAACAGAAGTTTATATAGTGCACCATGTCCAGCCTAGCATTGTTGTTAAATCTTCTTGACGAATTGGACCGCGAAGCTCCATCGTACTATGGCAACGACTTCGGTTTGGGTTTATCTCCTTATATGATCCACAACCACGCCCACCGTGAACCTGTAACCAACTCGGTGGGCTATACACTACCCTTAAGCCTGTTGAATCGTCTAAGTGAACGCCAGGCTGCCAGAACTCGTCGTGGTGAAAAGAAGGAAGACCGTATATCACCCGTTGGCAAAGATGGCTTCCAAGTTTGTATGGATGTGGCACAATTTAAGCCCAACGAATTGACAGTCAAAGTAGTAGACAACTGCATAGTCATTGAGGGTAAACATGAAGAACGTGAGGATGAGCACGGTTACATACAGAGACACTTTGTGCGTCGCTATGTCCTTCCTAAAGGTTATGATGCCGAAAAAGTCGCTTCAACCCTGTCGTCAGATGGTGTCTTAACTGTTAGTGTACCAAAGCCCCAAATTGAGGATAAGTCAAATGAGCGCATTATACAAATTCAACAGACCGGACCAGCTCATTTGAATGTGAAACAGAATTCGGAGGAAAAGCCAGCCGAGTCCAAGGATTCGAAGGAGGAGAAATAAAGTAGAAGATGACGCATTGTGTACACATTCATACAAATATTATCCACTGAGTATTTGAAATATTTTATGTTTAGACTTCATCCTCAGTTGATGATTCCATCATTAGATATAACCATTTATGTACTATTAATAGAGTTGGAAACATATGTGGTTCCATTTCGTTCATTTTGAATATATTATCATCTACTTTTAATTTTGTTTTGTAAGATATTCTCATTCCACGACAAATAAAGAAATTGAATTTCTACCAAGTAATTGGAGATATTTTTTTTTTTTGTTTAAAACAATGTAATAATTTTTTGGTGTGGGGAGTCCATACTTCCTGAGGTTTGGGCCTAAAAAGTGATTTCTGTAATTTCCGATTAAGGCAATATGGATGAGATTGTGGGGGTCCCTAATTTTCTGATACCAACGAAAAAGGGAATTTATTCCGAGTAATGAGCCATTCAACAACATTCTTATAAGTCCTTATTATACCCTCCACCATACTATGGTGGGTGTATTAACTTTGCCATTCCGTTTGTAACTCCTTGAAATACTCATGTCAGACCCAACAAAGACCCAATTCTTGATCAGCGTAAAAAAGTCGATTTAAAATTTAGTCGATGTCCGTCTGTCTGTCGTAATCACGCTATCCTCTGAACGAATTGAAATAGAATTCTACAATTTTACACACATGTTTATTTTGCCAGTAGGCAGATTAAGTTCGTAAATAGGCCATGTAGGTCCACGTTGTTATATAGCCCCCATATAACGGTACCTCCCAATATTCGGTATTTTGATAATTTTGGCGAATTTATTCCCCGGAATTGTTTCAAATTTGCTATTTGAAGTTTGAAATGGATACTACAGCCTACCACAGAAAATTGTCTGTGCAGGTCCACGTCTTCGTATAGCCCCCATATAACAGTACCTCCCAATATTTGGTATTTTGATGATTTTAGCATTATTATTCACCGGAGTAGTTTCAAATTACGTATTTAGAGTTCGTAATGGTAACTACAGTCTATGACAGAAAATTGTCTATGCAGGTCCAGTTCTTCGTATAGGCCCCATATATCACTACCTGCCTATATTCGGTATTTTGACGATTTTAGGTACAATACCCACCGAAATTGTTTGAGACGCGTATTTGAAGCTGGTTCAGGTCTTCGAACAGCTCCGATATAACGGTATGTCCCTATATACGGTATTTTGATGATTTTAGCTACATTATTCACCGTTTATTTCAAGTTTCGAATTTCAATATGGTAATGGCTTATGACACACAATGCCTATGTAGGCCCACGTCGTATAGACCCCAATATAAGGGCTATATTCGGTATTTTTAAGATTTTAAGAGAATTTTTAACGGATTTAATTTTTTGAAAATTTCCAAAATCGTTCCAAATGGTGGAGGGTACTCAAAGTTCGGCCCGGCAAAACGTCTGCCAATAGAACTTGAGTCGAACCTGGAGAGTTTCTAGTGTATAATTCGCATATGCTAATTTGCAATAAGATCGATATATATACTACTTTCCAGAAAACGGCCCTTGTAAGCCATCATCCACATCAAATATGCCTGATGAGCCGCTTAACCAACGGCGAAACGCGTCGCATAGTGGTGAGTGTGTGATAGTGTCTATCTGGCTTTCCTTTTCACTGCAAATTTCAGATCATTAAGCTCGTCTCGAAAGAGAAAACAAACACTTAAGTAATGCTTTTAACTTGTCCTTCTTTTCTTCAAGGTATTAATATCAGATTTTGTGTATAGTTGGAATTATCTAGTTTTAATATTTATGGTACCTTCTAAAAAGGTAGATTTTTATATGCCCAATGAATGAAGAAGGGGTTGGTAAGAGTGCAATTTGCGGAATCAATTCGAATCCCAACTCCAAAATCTGTTGTCGTAATTTATGGGATAGAATTTCAAAGCTTCAAAGCTGGAGGAGTAAAGTTTTGAAATTGCCTTAAAAAATAATTTCTTTCATAGGAGTCTTTTCTATAATTTAAAAGGCAAATGTATCGTCATTACCCTCACGCAAGCCAATTTGAGATAGAAAGAACCATTGTAATATTCGGCATTCGACATTTATTGATCTTGTTGAGGGCTAAATCATAGTAGATTCATGATTATACCCTGGAGAAGTTCTTTCAAAACCCACGAATTGAGATGCGGAAATATGTTTTAAGATTCTGTCATTTTAGACCCGGAGTTATCTAAAAATAGTCACAATTTGAGACCCGAGGATATCCGAAGATGTTCTTCAAAATCCACGATTTTAGACCCGGAAATGTTCTTTAATAATCGTTTTGAAGGAATTTTTAATGTTTAGAAATCCACGATCAAAATCCCGAAGCTTTTGTAGAAAATTCACATCTTTAGGGCGACTTCTTTGTTTCTTGTCTTACTTTGAATTCTTGGATGAAGATAAGTAGAAGTCTTCAATTTCTTTTAAATAAGCATAGGAAGTTTTTACACTTATTTTAATCGTTTTTTGTCATTTGGGTAGATTCATTAAAGTTACAAAATTATCCCAAATGTTAAAGTACCTGAGTATCTTATATTAACATCTGGAGGAAAATTCTCTCATTCGAAATTAAAAAAACGATCGATATGAATTTTTATATGTTAAATTTAGTATTTCGTTAGAAACTATTAAATATCGAATGTTAGAGTTCAATATCAACTGTTTCTACCAAGATTTCAATTTTTATAAATCTATAATGATCATACAACAACTCATTTCGATTGATATTTCTTCGTATCGAATGGAACAATTTGTCTGTTCCAGAATCTGCAAAAATCTACTATTAATATTTTTTTCGATACATTTCGCACACTATTTTAAAATGCTAGAATTTTAACGAGGAATAAAAAAGTGGGTATCCCGAAGATATTCGAGGTTGGGTTCTATACTAATACAAAAATTTTCTAGTAGCTTCAACATAATTTCTTAATTTATTTACATTTATTTATACATTTCTAATAAACAATTGATCCGATGAAATATTTAGCGCAAAATAGTAGAACCGTGTTGGAAAACATAATCAGTCGTTAAGTGTTGTTAGCAACATGGAAGCTGCACAAAGGCGATAAGACGGATCTCGCAGTTAATTTGACTGACTTTATTAAAAAAAACAAGTTTCTGAAGTTGATGATGGACCGATTCCCCGAATTTTGGGAAGGGAATTCGGATACTTATCCTTGTTGTGACATTATTTCAATGTAAGCCATTTCTACCTTTCAATTGGAATCGTTTCTTACGGTATGAATACAGAATACATGAGATGAGATGAAAAAACTGCAAACAACTTCAGACTGCTGTCATTTCTAAGCCACTCATCCGACAGCTATTACAGTTATACCAGTGACATCTCATTATATTGTTTAAAAACGTAAAAAAGGTTTTTGGTGGGAATTTTCCAGAAAACAATATACTATCATTTCTTTATATTTGGCTGGAAACCCACAAGTGGCTATCCACTATAAAGCACTCCAGCATTTAATTGTGTCTCGTATCATAGCTCGTTACCGTGATACTGGTAGCATAGCCCGACGTCAAGGAAGTGGACGGAAGAAAACAGCAACATCAGCAGAAATGGTTCGAAAAGTAAAGAAGCGACTTGATCGAAACCCACTTCGCAGTGGCCGAAAAATGGCTGGTTAGTTGAACAATATTCCATTCGGCAAATAATGAAAATTGAGCTCGGGGTAAAGCCATTGAAATTCTAAAAAGTGCAAGAACTTACGCCACTACAGAAAGAAAATAGACTCAAAAGAACTAAAGAGTTGCTTCGCTTGGCTGAAAGTGGTGAAATGTGAAAACAAAGAACATGGAGTATTGTGTCTCGAGAACTTTGGAAAGCAAGGTTGGCATAAAAAAATACCAAAGTGTCGATCACCTCAAGCAAGCGCTTCGCTGGGAATGAGCCAAAATACCGTTTGAAGGCCATAATTCGTGCCAAAGGTGACCAATTCGAACAAATCTAAACGTATTTTAAAATTTGATGCTATTTCCGACATTTTTGCTTGCATTCAATAAAATTTAAAAAAATGTAAAAATATGGCGTTTGACTTTGTTGCATGTTTTTTATCTCACCCTGTAATTCTTCAGCATTGTTGAGGCACATTATCATTCCCATATACTATTGGTAAAATCGATTAATACCCCATCGGATGTCCGCAAAGAAATATATAATATTGCTCCTAAGGATTTACCAAATTTACTAATTTATCCGAAATTATTAGGTGTGTCTGGTTACCCTAAAATTTGTAAGCTTTTTCGTAAATATAAAAAATTAGGATTAACAATAGACTACACTAATTACTCTGTTGCTAGATCTAAATATACTTTAGAGTCTCGTAGATTGTGTAATCTTTACCTAGACAAGATTAAAAATAATTTTAAATCCAATCCTAAATCTTTTTATGATTTTGTTAATCTAAAACGAAAAGTTTCCTCAAAGTCCTCAGTAATGAAATATAACAATAAAGAATTTGTCACAGGCACAGATATTGCTGAATGTTTCGCAGATTTTTTTGTCACAACCTATTCCAGTACATCTTGCCAAATTAAAGATTCGTATCCACAGGTTGATCAAATTTGTATGCCTTTTCTACAACGTCAGGATGTGTCCAATAGTCTGCGTAGTTTAAAATCGATTAAATGTCCAGGACCGGATGGCATACCTAATATAATTGTTAAATATTGTTCAGAAACATTAACACTTCCGTTAACTATATTGTTTAATTATTCACTTAAATTTGGTCACTTTCCTACTTTCAGGAAAAAATTTTATATTATACCTTTACATAAGTCTGGTAGTCTTACTAATGTGTCAAATTATAGAGGAATTGCAAAATTAAGTGCCATAATTCAATCTACATTGAGTCCATATCAGCAAAACCACTACGAAGTCTTTCAACTACAACAAATCTTTTACAATTTACGCCAACAGTAATAAAAAGATTTGTTCAGCGTAAACAAACTGATACAATTTATACTGATTTTAGCAAAGCTTTTGATAGGGTTAACCATGAACTCCTAATATATAAATTAAATTATATGGGTTTCAACACAAACCTAGTCAAATGGATATCATCTTACTTAAAAGATAGATCACAACTAGTTTTGTTTGAAGGGTATCTATCCATAACGATTAACGTTCCATCGGGTGTTCCGCAAGGAAGTCACCTTGGACCGGTCCTCTTTCTTTTATTTATCAACGATTTACCTAATTCCATAAATTACTCGAAATTGTTAATGTACGCAGATAATGTTAAATTATTCATTTCCCATAATTGTGATAAGCGAGCTAGTTTACTTCAAAACGATTTTGATAGCCTTTTTAAATGGTGCAGGTTAAATTGTATGGAGTTAAATTTAAGCAAATGTAAGCATATGTGCTTCTCCAGATCTTCTTCTCTGATATTACAATATAATATTGACGGCCATTCATTATCAACTGTAGATTAATTTGTCGATCTAGGCCTCTTGATGGATCCAAAATTAAATTTTAATAGCCATGTAATAACAATGGTAAATAAGGCAAATGGTGTTTTAGGTTTTGTTAAACGGTGGGCCAAAGAATTTTCTGATCCATATATAACAAAACAGTTATTTACGTCTCTTGTTAGACCTATATTGGAATATGGTTCTGTTGTGTGGGATCCTCAATGTGCAATATACTCAGATAAAATAGAATCCGTGCAAAAACAATTTCTGCTATTTGCCTTACGAGGTTTATATTGGAATAGTGATTTTGTTTTGCCTTCTTATGCTAGCAGGCTAAAATTAATTAGATTGCCTACACTTAAAAGCAGACGTATTATGTTGAACTCCATGTTTGTTCTAAAAATATTAAATGGTAATATACCTTCAGATTTCCTAATCTCATCTATTAGAATTAATGTTCCGTTTAGATCTAGTAGATACTACCAATTATTATATACTGATTTTCACCGCACGAATTATTCGATGGGCGAACCTCTTAGTAAAATGTGTGTTGACTTTAATTCGTGTATTGTAATGTAGATTTTTGTATGAGTTTAGAAGTTATTAAATCTAGAATAATTTTATTTTTAAACAATTAACATAAATGTTTTATTATTTGACAAACTAGCTGATGAATTAGATTCTGTAGCTGGTTTTCAATTTCCTACTTGCTGGACAAATTTCCTCTTGCAACTCTTCTACTTCTCATTCATCGACATTTAATCAGATGTTTTCTTTTGTTTATTCAATTCTTTTTGTGCGTTCAATTTGAAAATATTGTTTTGGAATAAGCTAGACTAATTGTTTTTAGAGAATATCTTAATAAAATGTTAAAAACATAAATATTAATATGTAATAAGGAAATAAAAGACTATTTCCAACATTTTTAGACAAACACTATTTGCAAACTCGTTTAATTTACTCGGGGAACACATCAAATATATCTTTCTTTTAATGCTCATATTTTTATTTTATTTTGTATTTTCCATTTTATTTATAAAACTTGTGAAATTGGTGGTGCTTCCTTTCTTTTAATTATTTTAATTAATTATTATTTAACAGAAATACAGCTATGCCCGCTTCCTGTCAGACTCATTAAAAATTATACACAAAAAGTTGTTTTCATTTTTTTCATAATTTCCTTCATTTTTAAAATAAAATAAACAGCGCGAACAATGAATGAAATGTTTGGATTTTTCTCAAAAATATGATCCAAACTGTTCAATCTTTCAATTTCACGGCTAAACTGGTTAATAGCTTTAATAGGCGAGCCGCGACGTACGTGTCTTTCAATCATTGGTTTTGAAAATATTTTGTATAGCCATGAAATTGAAAGATTGAAAAGTTTGGATCATATTTTTGAGATAAAATCCAGCCATTTCATTCATTTTCGCCCTAACTAACGCGTTTTAAAAATGATATATAATTTTGAATGAGTCTGACAGGAAGCGGGCTGTTCTACCTACTTATTGTACCATTATTATAATGTATGCAGATAATGTTAACTTATTCATGTCCTATACTTCTGAGGAATAATATGCTTCACTAAAGAACCTTTAAAAACCATTTTTTAACTGGGAATACAAATTTGTATGGAATTAAATATAAACAAATGTAAACAAATCGGCTCTCTTGAATGATCCGAAATTGAGTTTTAATAATCATGTAATAACAATGGTGAATGGCCCCCATATTAAATGTTAATATATATAGGTTTCTTTTTCTTTTCGATCTAGTAGTTACTATTAAATCAAAACCGAAAACTTAATAAATCTCATAAATTGATTGTTAATTTTTCGAACTTTTTGACATGCTCAAAAATATTTTATTTAAAATTATTTTTATATACAAAATTATTTTTAATTCACAATATATTGTACAAAAATACTTAACGTTCTCTTAAGATTTCTAATTCTTCTGGTAGTGCATAGATTCGCAATTGTTTCTCAATGATTAAATCTTGCAGGTGTGATAGCTCTTGGGGCACAAACGTTGCACCGTCTAGATATAAGGCTTTGCTCCAGGGGCACTCATCTAGAGCGGTTAATAAGCATTGCTTGCTCAACTCAAAGGAACAGCTCTGATCGGACAAACATCTCAAATAACATCGCCAAAATAATGAGTTCCGTCGCAATGACAACAGTGACGACTGCACAGAACACGGTGTTGTATTTGTGCTCTGAAGATGTACGATCATTTTGAAAAGGTTTAAAATACGTTGGCGAACTATCATTTCCTGATAATGCAAATCTACTGCCGATAACGTATTGCTCGAATCGCCTCCCTTTATATCGGATAAACTATTAATAAACCGGCAACGAGCCAAAGCAATGAGAAATATAATCGATTTAATCGAGGTTCCAATGGCTAGATATCCCCGACGTAGTTTAAACCAAGGCAGGGATGTTTGGCAACCCCATTTTTGTAGTAGAAGTAGATTGCTTGGGTACTCGCTGAGAGCCCGTTCAATGCTCTTTTGTATAAAAGTGTTCGATACATAACTATTGCCTCCGGGCATCTGCAATAGGTTCACAAGAATTTCGTAAAATTGTTCCCTTAGATATTGATGTCTGGGATTATCGCCACTACTGAACCTAGCCAATAGTTTTTGAATATATTCCAATGCTTGTTGTTTCTGCTGCAGTGCATAAAGCAAAAGCGTGTAAATTTTAACCTGCGTTACCGTGTTATCAGGCAGTATATATTGTTCCAGCAACATTATATTTACATTTTCTTCAATTTTGATTAAGTTCTCTAATTTTTCCTTCAACGTATTAACGCCAATCAGCTTTTTAGCACTTGTTATTTGGCTAACATCACAAGCGAGCACATATGCCGAAAATAGACTGCTGATTCTCTCGATGTTTTTAGAGTTGATAAGTATCTCGCCGTACGTTAAATATACATAAGCCAATTCGGAATTTGTGTTATCGTCTTGGTTGTAGACCGATATTAGATTTTTAAATATATTCTCAACGGTTTCCAACGGAGAGTCGGCAGCATATTCATAACGAGCAAACTCAACATAGAGCGACAGGCAATTACGATTATTGGGCAGCTTTAGCAGTGATTTGAAAAGTTTTCTTCCATTTTTAACAAAATCAGTGCTTATTTTCTTACTAATTTTTGCTAATTTTAACAATAGACATTGAAATCGAGACCATAAAATCAGAAACAGTAATCGTTTTCTATCGTCAATTTGTTCATAGGCTTTGGCACAATTTATGAGAAACTTTTGCAAACATTCTGAATAAATGTCATGGCCGATACAGTGGTTCAAGAAACTCGGATTACATGCCATCTCTTTAGAAAGGTCGTAAAGACTTTCGAAGAATTCCTTATGATCCAGAGATAAGTTATAATTCGGATTGATGTAGAGAGCTAGCAAATCTTCAATAGCGTCAGTTTCTCCTTCCAATTGCATAGCTAAACAATGACTGCCTATAAATGGCACCTTTAACAGCTTTACAATTAAAAGTAGCATTTTAAGACAATTGTCCGTAGATTGTAAAGGATATACATAATGACAAACATCTTCGTTAAAGACAATTCTTTGGGGGTCACTGCACTTTGTACTCTCACCGGGAAATGGTAAGAAAAAGAAGCCCTGCCTAAGCTTTTCAATACGCAACCAAATTTCGTTCATAGGCAGACCGGACTGTAAAATCAATTCTTCGTACTCGACACATGTTTGCTCGTCCTGCTCGCGGGGCTGCAAATCTTCCAGTATACAGCTATTAGCAGGCACATTTAATTCCACAGAAAGTTTAATTAATGAAAGGAATTGTTCATACAAGCCGGATTGACGTAAAAATAGGGCACATGCGTAAAACAGCTGCATCATCACCTGATCACTGGCCGTAATTTGTTGAGATTTGGGACTGTGAAACATCTTTTTCAAGCAACGTTCATAGATTCTTAATACATCGGGCACCGTACACCTGGCCATTGTTCCTTGGGTACACATAATTTGAGCTTGCCATAAAATTAAACTATGCGGATCCTTGGCCAGCAAAGAATCTAGCATTTTACTAACGTCGTGAGAAGTATAGCACTGTGTAATGGTCTCAATGTATACCGAGTATAAATCTTTATGGAATGGATGGAAATTCAAAGCCTTCTCGATGTAGTCTATTTTCTTTTCGGCAATTCTCAGACGTGACCACTTGTAGGGATTACGATCTTGTAGTGCAATCAGGTCTAGCCAATTTTGAATTTCCCTACAATTTTCCATTGTTTTCCTATTGAGGTCGCTCATTTTTGATGTGTACTCATTTTCTGTAAGTGGATAGTTGTCATTATCGTTTTTCTCCACATTGTCTAAATATTTTGTGCAGTGGTAATAACGTTTTGACTTGACTTTTCCAACAGGGCCATAGGCACGCCCCAATGTGTAATGGTTTACACGATATCTCGGGCAAGCTGGTTTGTGTAAAGTTTTTATCGAGTTGTATTGTTTTGCTTTATTTTTGTCCACATAAAATTCTTCTTTGCCTGTAAAATCTAATAGTGGTTCGAATGTAGGCACAGGTGATGCCGGTCTGGAACTCGTTTTGTGTTTTGCTTTCTTCTTCGATTTGGCTTTCTTGTCCTTTTTTCTTTTTTTATGTTCACGCTCGCCATTGCTATCTCCACTATCAGAGTGGGAGAGTACCGAGGAATCACTGTTTGATGTACTGTAATCGTCTATTACATTATTTGGTGTACCTTGAGGTGCTGTGAATTTAATGACATCGAGCGGAAAACTCGTGTTCTCTAGCCATCCAGATGTTGCGGGTTGATCTGTGTTGGTTTCAGGTATTATTGCATTTTCTTCAGAGTAAGCGGGAAAGAGAGACATCTTTTATATTTTCCTGAAATTATGAAAACAGTACGTAATTATTTTAATACAAATACTAATAATAAAGAAAAAGAAAAACTACCTAAGATTACAAATGAACATTTTATGTTCCGAAACCTTATGGCTTGTATTTTATGGGCAAATAAATGGCCCGAATTAGGACCTAACATTTTACTCGTGAACTCAAAAGAACTAACCCAACAAAATGTGTATGTCTAGAAATATATTTTAAGACTGATGTAATAATGGAGTTTCGTACCAAATGCTCTTATGAAATATATGCAAAGTTGTCATGTCCAAAATGCCACCTTTCATTTAAGTATTTGGGTAATGCTGCTAAGCATTAAGATGGCCTTTAATAAAAAAAAAATGAATATTATTTTCTTGACCAAAAAGTACTGACTTTTTAACATACCAAGTAATGAGTAACAGCGGCTAAAAGTTAGCATTTAAGTATTTGGGTAATGCTGCTAAACATTAAGGTGGCCTTTAAATGAAAAAAATGAATATGGTTTTCTTGACCAAAAAGTACTGACTTTTTAACAAAACAAGTAATGAGTAACCGCGGCAAAAAGTTAGTATTACAAAATCACAAAACCTTAGTAGCTGGTTCGAATATCTGTACTCACTTCTTATGACATGCCCACGTTTAAATAAGGTGTTAGGATGCTCTTTTGTAAATAGCTACTAGTGGCAAAATGTACTTAAGTCATTATGTAGGACACCAATGAAACATATAAATACAATACAATATAAATACTATTGTTTACGAACGATGTATGAGGACAACGCAATCAGCTGCAACATTCAGTAAAATGAGCATATGTGGAAGCGAATTGGGAACAAAACGGCGGCGCGACGCCGTCGCTCTCTTTTACAGATGCAAGCGACCACCGATTATGGCGGCTTACATCGGCTGAAAAAAAATAAACGCTAAGTAACTAAAGAAAACTTAGCGTGCAGATTGATTTCACCAATATTTTTTCAAATTTCAAAAATTATTTTACAAAATATAATTAATTTAGTTTGAAATTGTTTCTCTTCTGAACCGCAATATAGCCGCCACCAAAAAACATGTTCGGCTTTGTTGTCTGGGCCGTAACTAGACATGCCACTAAAACGCCAAACAAACTTAAAAGCGCTCCTGGCGGTATATCTGGTCTGTTGCAGAACTGCAATAACGTATAAATGTTTACTACGATAACCGAATTTCCCTTTAGAATTTTTACAGATTGCCAAACTCGTTCCAAATGGTGGAGTTTATTCAAAGTTCGTCCCGGCCGAACTTACAGCTATTTTTTAGTGTTTTTTTTTTGTTATTTTTTCAAAGCATTTTGAAAGAATACTCTTGCGGAAAAGTTTGCGAATTTGAAGCGTACGGTTATATTAATGCTGTACCCAGTGATGCTTTCCGTTAGTATTTAGATCCCATCTCGGATTTGAAAAAAAAAATCGGTCGTGAGAAGATATGTTTTTGTTTGGTATATCTGGTTGAATAAATCCGATTTGAACAATAAATCTTGATAATGTTTGCTAATCTGGATAACATTTTGTATCTAAACACGTCAAGCATTTACGTTTGGGAACATTAATGTGTCAAAAATTTTGAAATGTTTTTATTTTTTGTTAATATAAGTAGATTTTTCAGCAGCTGTGTCGATGCGTCTATTTTTATTCTTTTACCATGGATGTATCTAAACCATCGTGCACACGGGTATCCACTGTTGTTGCTGTCCAAAAAAGAGATGATTTAAGAGAAAACTAAAATTCTATTTTCCATGGTAGAAGAATACATGTATATGCACCAACGCTTGGGAACATTGATATGTCAAAAAAAATTTAAATGGTTTTAGATAGATTTTTACAAATTTAAATAATTTTTCATTCAACATTTTCAATTCCAAAATATTTATTTGACAACATCTCATTGTCAAAATTTGTATTTATAAATCCATTGTACATTCTCAAATCAGAAATAGGAACCTGTTTTTATGTAGTGAAATTTGACAAGGTAAGTTACAAAAAATGCAGAGATGGTAATGCTTATTTGACAACATTTTACTGTCAAAAATTGTATTTATAAATCCATTGTATATACACAAACCAGAGATGGGATTTTTTTATGTATTGAAATATGCATGGTAGAAGAATATAGGTAGACGCATCGACAAAGCTGATCGGTCAATGAACTGTCAAACCGATTTTGGAATTGAAAATGTTGAATTAAAAATTATTTAAATTTGTAAAAATTGTTGAAAAAACCTCCGAATGACTTCGTATAAGAAAACATATAAAAATCTACTTGTATTTGAAAATATATTTAAATTTTTTTTGACATATCAATGTTCCCAAGCGTTGATGCATCTACCTGTATTTTTCTACCATGGAAATATGACAAGGTAAATTACAGAAAATGCAGAGTTGGGTATGCTTATTTGAAATGACTTTAACTTCTTATTTTTTCCATGATTGAACGATTCATTTCAATTTTCATTTTTTACAGTTTGTGATTATTTATAAAGCGTATTGATACAAAAATGTATAAAATTATTTAGCTGTCAAAATTAAAAGAAACTCTTCTTAAGCAAACCAGGGCTGCTGAAGAAAAAGAGCTCTCCCACAAGACGTATTTCTCTTTCTTAAAAACATATACAAATTTGAAAATTCATGGACATGAATGAGATTACCTTGGTAATTGTGTTATGCTGGAAACAGTATTATTTATTATTTTTATGTTGATTCGCTTGATGGGAGAGCTGATAAAGCTTCAGAGGCTAACGCTGTCAATAACTATCAGTTTGAACAGAGCAGCCAAACGGAGAATATGGTTGATACGAACACCGACGTTGATTTGGAAAGAGAATACTCGCCAAGTTTGCACACAAAACGGTTTCAAGACTCCGCCAAGCCTAACGAAGAGGTTTTAAAACATTTTGTAAATGTCTCACAAGAAGGTAAGATGACAGAAGTGTAGTAAAGTTATTTTGATAACGAGTGACATCGATTACATAGGTTATTAAACTCTAATTGATAACACTGCAATGTAACTCACGCATAAACTCATTAGTTACTACAAAACATGGAACAAGTATTAAAATGTGAGACACAGCTACCAACAAATTGAATCTGTGTCGAATTGTGGTTTGAGTACAGAATGACAAACATTAAACCTGACTGAATAAAAATAAAAACATGTACAACAGGTTATTTTTTTATCAGACTTTTCTATAAAATCATGTTATAAACTAAAATGTACATATGTATTTGGTCACAAATGGGGTAAACTTTGTCAATGCATGGGCGTTCTGATGCAATTGAATTTAAATATACTGATTTAATAGAAAAAACCTTACGATAAAAAATAGTAAGAATTGGTTGGTAGCATGGTACAAAAAGGAGGTAGAACAGTTTCGTAAAACTACAGAAATGCAGCCCTGAGTCTAAGCCCGCTTCCAGTCAAAGTTGTTTTCATTTATTCAATATATTTCCTCATTTTGAAAATCTGTTAAACAGCGGGAAAATGAATGAAATTGCCTAGAAAATATTATCTAGACAGCTATCGTTCAATTCTATGGTAAAACTGGCGAATAGCTTTAATGCGCGTCTCCCAATTTACCCGTCTTCCAATCATTGGTTTTGAAAACATTTTGTTTTCATTTTTTAAAACAATAAATACATACACAAAATTGGTGGCTTTACCTTGCCTTTTTTTTTTGTACCATGGTTAGTAGCACGAAAAGTTGTTCAACTTCAAAGCTACTAGGAAAATGCAATTTTGTACTGCAGTCTTATGTGTCAAATAGACATTTAAAATATTTTAAAAAATCTTATATTGAGAAAAAGAATTCACAATCAATCAAAAACAAGTAAAAAATGTATATAAATGAATAACCTCCACAATTTGGAACGAATTTGGCTATTTTCAAAAAAATAAAATCCGTTAAAAATTCTGTTAAAATCTTAAAAGTACCAAATGTAGTCGTCATATAAGGCTCTAAACGACGACGTGGACCTGCATAGGCAACTTTTGTCATAAGCCAAAAAAATCGGTGAATAATGTAGCTAAAATCATCAATATAGGGAGGTATTATTATATGGGTGCTATACCTAAATGTGGAACTGCGCAGACAATTTTTCGCCTAAGGCTGCAGTATCCATTACGAATTTCAAATACCAAATTTGAAACAATTTCGATGAAAAATGTCGCTAAAATCATCAAAATATCAAATAGGGATGTACCGTTATATGGGGGCTATAAGAAGACGTGGACTTGCACAGACAATTTCCTGTAATAGGCTGTTGTATTCATTACGAACTTCAAATGCCAAATTTGAAGCAATTCCGGTGATTAATGTCGCTAAAATGGTCAAAATACCGAATATCGGGAGGTACATTTATACGGGGGCTATACGAAGACGGGCACCTGCACAGATAATATCCTGTCATATGCTGTAGTATCTATTACGAACTTCAAATTTCAATTCCGGTGAATAATGTCGTTAAAATCAACAAAGTACCGAATATAGGGAGGTACCGTAATAAGGGGGCTATACGAAGACGGGGACCTGCACACTATATTTTCTGCTTAGGCTGTAGTATCCACTTCGGACTTCAAGTACCAAATTTGAAACAATTCCGGTGAATAATGTCGCTAAAATCATCAAAATACCGAATATCGGAAGGTACCGTTATATGGGGGCTATACCAAAAGGTGGACCTACATATCCCATTTTCAAGACCAAAAGTCCTGAAGACAGCTGACAGCTAGAGGGATTCCCACAGAAGAACACCGCTAAATTGACATAGAATTTGTGCTGATCAAGAATATATATACTTTGTGGGGTCTAAAATATATATTTATTTCGAGCTGTTGCAAATGGAATGACAAACTTAATACAAATACCAAAAATGGTAAAGACTAGACAATATGCATTTTGAGCAAAGAGACATGTTAATATAAAACCCATGGAAGAGACATGTTAATATAAAACCCACAATTATAGAAACGAATAACATATTAAAAGTTTAAAAATCCAAAATTGTGGTTTAAAATCTTATTCCCTAGACCATTTTAAAAATTTGCATATTGCCTTAGCGGCTTAAATCAGTTAACATTGGTAGCTATGTTGTTATGATATCGTAACAACAGAGGTATTTTCATAGGGTTGCCATATTTTGACTCTGTCTTGTCCTATTCTTACACTTCTATGTCTTTGCTTAATATACCCTCCATACTATGGTGGAGGGTATAAAAAAGATACCATTGTAGAACAATTAGAAGTTAAAAAAGCAAAACTACAACAATTACAATTCAATAACAACCAAGTAGAAAATTTCTATTGTAAGTAATGCTAGTGTCAGAGTTAAATGTCAAAAAATTTAAACAAAACTGTAAATTTTCAATGTACACACAAGTAAAACATATTTATTTATATCAATGTAATCCAAATACGTCGAGCGTACGAAATTTCGCAGCGTTACCTAAAATCGGATGTAGCGTGTACAAATATTTAACTTCCCCACTATGGTAAAATGTTTTGTACGTCCGTA